ACCTTTTAAAAAAAAAAAAAAAAAAAAAAAAAAAAAAAAAAACTTTTTCACACTTTATAGAAAGAAAAAGCTACTTTAACGTCTTTCCCACTCCATGAAGAAGAAAAACTAAATAATAACTTTTTAACTTGAAACTTAACCAATCACAAGGGCTTTTTTTATTTATTTTTATTTTTTTATAACATACGTACATGCATATATATTCCAAAGGCAAGCAAGTTATACCAAAGATGACATAGTAACTATTTATGAAGTGATACAGCTGGCAGGCAACAATAGAATGGCTTGGGCAGGAAAGGATATTTTCCAACTATTCAAGTAGATTCTAGACACCTAAATGCCAGCTGACAGACATTTCCATATCTGAACACAGGGATACAATTTTTTTAGAGGCGGTGGTGGTTCAAACAGAAAACACTAACCTTAGCTGCCTTTGCTGCAAGCTTTTTCTCTTTTTCAGTCACAAACCACGTTCGTTTTGGTCGTGAAAATATTTCATCCTTGTGGGCAATCATATTTTCTGCCTGCATCCATTGAAGGATTTCAAGAAATTGACATTAAGTGTAAAGCACAAAGCATAAGACCGGGTAACAATTTCCACAGCATGCTGTAAAAATGTCAATGTTAAATTAGCATCAAGGAAGTAGAATCAAGCACCTTTGTTGCTTCCATCTCAGCTTTTCTAAGTGCTTTCTCTTCCCTGAACATATTCATCGTTAATATTTATCTATGGGGAATACATTAACCTTTTTTTAAGTTTTAAAAAAAAAACAAAAAAAAAAAAAAAAAAAAAAAAACCTCTCTTCTTGAAGAATTGCAGCTACTTGATCTTCCATTTGCTCAATTATCTTAGACCACTTGGTTATTGATTGTTCCGCAACGATACGGCTCTTCAGCTTTGAACCCGCCCTTTTTGCCTATGAAATCCAAATCCAGCAATTTAATAGTAAATTTTATTAATCATCAATCTTTCCTAGTTCTCTTTCGAGTTTGGAAAAAAAAAGGCATCACACAATAGTTAAGGAAAATTTACATTAGTTTAAGACTAAAATGTATATGAAGACCTACAAATGTGATATATGATGAACGCATAGATATGTGTTACTGTGTTTGTATCTTGATATACAACAACAAACGTAAATCAAAAAATCCTCCAGGCCAAACTATTGCTAAAAGCAATAAGAACAAGAATGAACTGTCCGAAGAGATACTCTTTCAAAAAGAAAATCCTAAATATCATAAAAAATCTTGAAAATAGATCCTAAATAGACCTCTTAAAAATCACAAAGTCGCCCAAAACAATTCCCAAGTTGAGAAAACTAAAGCATATAAGAAGATGATGCTCACAATAGCTTTTAAAAGGGATCTATCATTATCTGTCACAAATGTAACAGCATAACCTTCTCTGCCGGCTCTTGCTGTACGACCCACTCGATGGACATAGCTGTAAGATGTTAGGCAGGTGTAAGCACAGAACCTTGCATCCACATGCTAAATAAACAGTAGAAATAAAATGGCTAAATGCAAGAGATAGAAACGTACACAAATAGACTAACATGTTATGACAGTGAAACGAAGCTAATATTTACCTTGTAAGATCACGAGGACATGCATAGTTTATGACTGTTTGGACTCCAATTATGTCAAGTCCCTAAAAACAGAGACCATTAAATGTAAAAATAAAATTCCAGAGAAACTGCTTAATCTACGAAATGGCAATACTATGCAGGATAAATGTGGCAGAATCCTGACTAATGTTTTTTTTTTTTTTTTTTTTTTTTTTATTTTAAAAAAAAAAAAAAAAAACGGAAAAGAAAATGCGTAAAAATATGGCGGGAAAAAGGGGGGGAAATCTTGCTATTTTTTTTTTTTTTTTTTTTTTTTTTTTTAATTTAGAAATCCCCCGAACCCACTTTGTGAGCCCAAGTTTGAAATTAGAGCCTTCCGCCAAACCCTAAAATTTTTGGAAGGCAGGAAACTATGACTTTTGTCATATAGGTACCCATGAGGAGGTTCGAAACCCAGACCTTGTGGGAGCAAACTAAAGGCCTGACTAATGACTAACAAGAAGATCAACAATTGCTGAACTCCAAGGGGCCAGATTGCATATGAAAGGCATAACTTACAAAACAAATATCAGAGTGCTAGTGCACTTCTAAAACTATAGAAAAAAGGTTGACACTGTACTCACACGAGCAGCCACATCAGTTGCAATTAAAAAGTCCACTTCCTGCTTCCTGAATAGTTCTAAAGCCTACAAAAAAGAAAATATAAGATTGTAATGAACACAAATAGAGAACAGAGGTAATAAGCTCAAAGCAAATGCAAGGCTTTCTAATATCATTTTGGCTTTGCAAGATTTACTCACATCAAGGCGCTGAACTTGAGTAAGATTACCATGAAGCTCGGCAGCTTTTAAGCCAGCTAAACCAAATAAAATCTTCAACCTATGTGCAGCCTGTTTTGTTCCACTGCAATTGAAAAATGTATAAATAAGCAAAATAATAATTAACAAAAAAAATGTCAGGAAACTAATAATTAACAGTCATAGATAATGAACGAAAAGTTTCTTAAAGTAACTCTTAAGACCTGAAGACTATAACTTTGACAGTAAACGTCTTGGAGCATAATGCGAGAAGAACTGCTTCCCGGTTTACTTCACGCATACGTCGTATCCTAACTACCCTGCATAACCGCGTTTACAAAACTTTATTCAGACATAAAATTTCTTTTAAGTCAAGGAGAAAACTATTAGCTCTGTTTTAAGCAATATAAGTGTCGCGTCAAACAAACAAATTAATGATTGGTGAAGAGGAAAGAATTACTCCTCTGTCAATTTTGCTGGTCGTTTTGTGGATGGATCAGCCGAGAGGCGCACGGGTTGATTCAGAGAAAGCTTGACAAGCTCATCAACTTCCTCAGTCATTGTTGCTGAAAAAAGCATGGTCTGTCTCCTTTTGGGACAAAAGCGAACCTGCAAATGAAGTAGAGATTATTAGGAATTATGTAAACACTTTGAACAGAACTTTGTGTATTTTCTCTTATTTTTATTTTTTTCTCTCTTATTTATTGAGAGGGGGTGGAGGTTCAGAAAATAGTAACACTTTCCTTCCTGTTCGAATAAGTAAAAACTTTCACTTTCCATGCTTAAAATGAAAAGAGTGGGAATATACCAACTCATGAATTTCAGGGTTAAATCCAAGCTCCAAAAGACGATCTGCCTCATCAAGAATAAGAACAGCAAGATCGTCCAAACCCACTGATATTGAATTGCGTAAATGATCTATCATGCGACCTGGAGTAGCCACAACAATATCTGGCATTGATCTCAAAGCTGTCTCTTGCACCTGATAAAAAATGGCATTAATGCAATATTCTTGATAAACAAAGACGTGTCAAAATGGAACTTAACCAGCACCATAGTCTCATTATAACCACATGAGAAGATTTTATGAACGGTCCAAAGAAAAAAATCCAACTTTCCATAACTGCCTCATATGGACTCCCAAGTCCCAACGCATTTTTTAGGTGTTATGCTTCAGATTTCAGTACAAAATGAAATTGATTTATAAAAGTGCAAATAAATTTAGGGAAATTTTTGTGGATGATCTTTTTTAAAGCCTACTTTAAGTAAATGTCTCTAACTTTGCTAAATTAAAAAAAAATAAAATAAAATGTCTTTTTTCAAATTGACTTTAGTCGTTGATTGGTTTTTTAATAAATTATTGATTGATCTTGGTAAATGAATGAATATTGATTAATTAATCATCAATTTACTAATTTATTAATTTTCAATCATGTAAAATTATCGATTCTTGAAGTTTTAAAGTGGATATTTAATTAATTTAACAAAACTAAGGACATTCAATAAAACATGCCTTTTTATGTAATTTAAAAGTATGCTTTTGAAAAAGGCCACATATCCCATAAATGTATCCAGCTATCAATAGTAAAAGTACATTTATCTAATTGAACATAGTAAATAAGAAAAACAAAGTCTACATGGTTAATAAGTGGACAGCGTATGATCAAGTTCAAGATAGGGAGGAAATAAGAACCACACCCAGTCCCACATCCACATCACACAGACATCTAAAAATAAAGGAACTAGGGAAGTTCATTAAATATTAAATAAAAAATATAGCCGACCTTCATTGGAAGTCCTCCAACAATCAGGCAACATCTGATATCTGTAAATTGGGAAAGCTTGTCGATCATGCTATGGACCCTGAGAGCAATTTTCAAAAAAAACAAAAAAACAAAAAAACAAAAAGAAGAAAGAAAGTAAACCTTCATGAACATATATTAAATGGAGCAAAAAAATCTGAAAGGAAAGTTCTCCACAAGTTACAAGTACACCAAAAGGGGGCAATGCCATAAGACATCAAAATATAAAAGCAACTAGAACATCTTGGCCAAACTCTTGGTCTTAGTAAAGCTACATTCTATATACTTAAGTGAACTTCTTAGTACCTATCTGTTTATGTGCTTCATAATTGCATTGGGTCAAATATAGAGGGGAAAAGAGACAGAGTATATGTTTGTCAGCGTGTGTGTATGCGTGCGCCCTTTAGTGTTAAACTGACAATGAGCAATCTCTAACTAAATGTATAATCAAATGAAGAAAAATTTCGAGTATGTACTGCCTAACTAGAGGAGTAACAACCCGCCACCAAACTCAAGACTTGGCACACCCCAATTACCTCACAAAATAAAAGAGAATACCACTAAGAATTACCTAATTGAAACCTTAGCTATAATTGGAGAAAGATAATAGGCATAACCCATATTCACATGTGAGCAAATCTCTTTCAGGTGCTTCCACATAAATATGAGTCAAGTAAGGGGAGTAAACACTCACTGCACAGCCAACTCTCTGGTCGGGGTCAAAATAAGGACTCTAATTGCAGGAATTCTCTTTGGGCGAAATAGTAATCTCTCCAGTGTAGGTAACGCAAATGCAGCCGTCTGAAACACATTAGACAAAGCATTAATTGTCTTCACAACACAGCAATGATCAGCAGAACAGTATCTAACCAAATGTTTCCAAACGATTGATTACCTTTCCAGAACCGGTGATCGCACTCCCACATATATCACGCCCAGCCAATGCCATTGGAATGCACGCTGCCTGTGAATAAACGAAACCAAGATATAATACAAGAAAACACTAAAAGATGACTGCTAAGCGCACAAAACAGACGGCGCTAAACATAAACCTGAATGGGCGTGGGTTTGACGTAACCCAAGGACTCGCAAGCCCGAAGCAAAGGACGCGACAAATTAAGCTCCAAGAATGAATTGGCATGGTACGATGCTCCATCAGAAGGGGCAAAAAATGACTTGCTGTCAACGGCATTTGTAGTATCATGGTCCTCCTCTTCCGACCTATAACCTTCCTACAAAAACCAGCAGGAAATTTGCTTAAACCTTTCGGAAACATACGTTAGGGTTTGAAGAATTCAGAGAAAAATGAGAGATTGTTACTTGTCCGTCCGGTTCCGGTTCAGAGCTCTCGTTCCCGTCGTCGGCGGCGGGGTCGACGGAAAGCTGTTGGCGAGCTTTGGTGATCTTGAAATCGACGGAGGTGGTGCTTCTACGAGCGTGTTCTTCGGCGACCGATTTGGAATACGCAGCGAAGTTCCATGGAGCCTGAGATTGACGAGAGGGTTTCGGTCCTCTTCCTCCTCCATCGTCTTCTTCTCCATCTTCTTCTTCGTCTACTTGTTCTTCCTCTTCGGATTCCAAATTTTCAATTTCCTCATCGCTGGGAGGTTCGAATACGAAGCTTGGAGACATAGTAACGGAGAACAAGCTAGCGTGGAGGGGACTGTTGTCTGCTCTGCTGTGTATTGCGGCGTCGAAAGCAAGGGGGTTTTCGAGTCTCTGCCTTCGCGGAGGGTTTTAAGAAAAGTTGCGGCTGGATATGCCCCTCCTCTTTACAATTGGGTCAATCGATTTGGGCCAAGCAGCCGAACAATCACCATTAGTGTTTAAATTTGGACGGACTGTCCAGGATCACCAAAAATTTTGAATTTTTACCAAATAATTGAGCCCGCATCGAGCCTGAAATTTTAGACTGCCTAACCCGACCCGAGAAAGACTATAGATGGGCTTTAGGCAGATTTTGGCTGCCCGACCCCTGATCAGGCAACTCGAGACCGCCCGAGTGCCTGACAATTTTGTTAATGTTTTTTTATATATTTATATACTATTATATATTATATATAATTTTGTTTATTAATTATATATGGTATGTATATAAATGATTTTTAAGTTATTTATTGTAAAAATTATACAAAAATTATAATGGAGATTGCAATTTGAAATTTGTAATGAACATGAACTATATAAAAAAATTATTTATTTATTTATTTTTAAATTTATAATTCATGATTGCCTCGTTAAAAACCTTTGCCGAATTTCATTCTGGGACGAATTACAAATTTAACGAACTTACAAAGTGTTGGTTGCCGAATCGAATCCGGCTGCGGAAGCGCGGTGGTGCGGGGAAGAGGCGGATCGTGTATAACAAAAATTTTCATAAAAATTTTGAGATACTCTATAGATTATTATGCATGAATAAATTAATCTCATTAACTTATATATATCAAGAACTCAATCAGGAAAAATTCCTGGAAGCCGACTCGGATGATAACTTGAGTTCTTTGACCACGAACAGTCCTTTCTCCAATCTTTGTGTTTAGAAAACCAATGTCTTCCACATCAATTCCTAGAATCCACGAAGACGTGTGTGTGGGCACACATGAGACAAAACGGGTAACAATAAACACTCGAATTTCCACAAACACCATCACATGCAC